CTCTCTCTGTCTTTCTCTCTCTCTCTGTCTCTGCATAATTTCTGTGGAGTGTTTTTCAATTGCTATTTGTTAAGATCTTTTTTAATTTGATCTTGAATGCAGATTCACCGGTGGTAACTCTGATAACATCAGTAAGATTGTTCCAAAGCTTGGAACCCTCATATATGATAGACTTCTTTCCGTAGGTTTCTGTGCTGTAGCTGGGGATTTGCACTTTGTTAATCCCACGTAGGTTGTGTTGTTTGACGTTGCGCTTTTTGAARAGATAGCTTAGATCTTATGAGTTTCTCCAAGGACACACATATCAGTGAAGGTACCCAGCTTGATTCTAAATGAATGTGTCAAGAATTTCCAGTTTAGTTCTCTGGGCCCGGTTGTACGAAGCCTCAATAGCGCTATTCGGCGGATAAATCCTTAACTAGCGGATAAGTCCATGCTGTTATCCAATAAATTTATCCACTGGATAAAAGATTTATTCGTCAGATAGCGCTATCCAGGCTTCGTACAACCAGGCCGTGATGATCTGGGTGCGCCTTGTGTTCCATAGCAAGCTGTGGATAATCCTGGCTGCACGGAAATGGATCTTGTCTATAGGGATTCCATTAAAAGGTCTTGTTACAGATTCCCCAAATGATGATACCATCCAAGACTGATGGAAAAATCACCTTAAAGTAGAAATCTTGTCGCACTACCTTTGGTAGGAAGGACACACACTTGAGTAGGTTAATCTTCTTGGCGCATGATGTTGCCATCTCTGTGATGTGTGGTGACATCTCGTACGCAGACCTTCCTCAGCGAAAAGTCGAGATAAGAGTTTGGGTACCAGAATGGGACTTTCTTTAAGACAGGTGTGTAGGTTGGGGATATTATTTTTTAGGAAAAAAACTGTGTGGGCATCTGGAAATCGCCTCGATTGGTTTACTTTAGGCTCAGATCAAACATCGAACTTATAATAAGGCGGTCCTCTTTTGWGTCATTAGGTTCGGCTCATTTGAAGTTTAASGTTTGTATTCGGCCTTAGAAATATTATCTCAATAACTAGCTGTGTTTCCTTTTGGAAGGTTCAATATGTATTTCATAACTGTGGTAGGATTTTAAGATTTGCAAAATATTTGGGTAAATGTGTTTTTAAAATTAAAGAACAATAGAGGTTTTGCACTACCACGTGACGGCWGYCRTGTTMGATGGCAGGAACAATACAATCGTTTTACATGAGAAAGAATTCAATTTCCAAGAGCAAAGGGWTTYATTGTTCTGCCATCCAACCACRGGCAGTCCAAGYTGTATTAWGGGCGTCGGCATGYGATGGCGCAAAACCTCGWGTATATYATTGCTAGACGAKTTKTAGTGATGTTGGCTTTTCATGAGCGTTGGCGTTTGTGGTAGTAAGGTTAGGCAACCTATCCAACCTATCTATCGACGAATCGCACAAACAAACGAACAAGTCAATGGAAATTCAGTACAAAACTAACCTTGCTCCTACAACTGAATGAATGAATGAACGAATGAAGTTTATTTCATAAGGGTAGCACAGGAGAGTTATAATTTAAACAATCAYACTGATAACCCWGTGTCCTCAAACTGATTTTGTTATCTACATTCTAGGCATTGTCATCATCTTCACTCCCGATTTCATCCAGGATAAAGAATGGATTCAAGTTTCTGACAATATRATCGGGGAGCTTTATTGTCGTATCATTTATAACCGACTTTTGATCTTCCTCCTCGGTAAGGCGTCTATTCTAACAGCTGCATTCCTTGCTGTTGAACGATGGTATTCTATCCTCAAGCCAATCAAATATCGTCTCACCTTCAGCCGGCGGCGACTTTGGGCATCAATCATTTGCATATGGATATCAAGTACACTTCTCCAAATGCCAAAAGCCTTTCAAATTTCATTTGTCAATCAAACATGTATATATGACAATTCTTCGACCAAATCTCAAGCTGTGGCGATATTGTACGTCTCGATGACATTTTTTCTTCCCGGTTTTATAATCTGGGGTACGTTTGCGCAGATTAGAAAMAGTTTTCGCAGATCAACTCGCATCAAACATAATAACCTTGGACGAACAGCTTCTCAGAGATTACTAGGAGTCTGCGCACTAGCGGCTTGCATTATGACACTTTGTTGGGTTCCTGTTCAAATAACTTACATTCTTAGTCGCTTTGATATCCTGGAGACTAGTGGTATGATTCATCAGGTTAATCAAATGCTGTCAATGTCAAATAGCTGTATCAACCCATGGATTTTCTGTCTCGCTAATAAGGAGTACCGGGATGAATTTCGTGGTCTTTTGGCGTCGACATTTTCTCGTAATCGCCCGGCTTCTAGTCGGAAAGCATTCGTACATCCACTGACTGAATTACAAGGTATACCTATGAGTGTACTATACTTTGAAAATAGTAATTGGATTGATAAATCTGAGAAAAACTGCAATAATTTAGACAATTTTGATGGATCAAAGCAATATGAATGTCTCGATACACATTTATAATATTAAAGGATTCCTAAGTTTGGTACACGTGAGATCGTGCAAAATTTCAATTTTGAGAAGAAAATTTCACGTCATGTCGTGGAGCAAATTTTCTTTTTTGGGATGAGCTTTTATCACGGATAATTTTGAATTAGTAAATCAGAAAAATAATCACATAGCTGGAAAGCCGAGCATGTAAAATMATTAAAATTGTGAAATTTGAAAAAAATTTTTTTAATTTAAAAGAAGTCGTGAAGTGTGATTTTTGAAAAGTGTGAATTTTGTAGGAAAATCTTTGCTGGCATCTCCCGTCAAAATTTCAATTTTCGAGAATTAATATCTTCGCAAGGTAGAACTTATTCCTTCAAGCTTCATATTTGTACGAAAATATTTTTACTAGTTTTAACATGCTCCCTTCAGCTATGGTAATCATTCTCTTGTCCTATGAGTTTTTGGATACCATGTGGAATTACATGCATAAAATAAAAGCTCATTGAATCTGTTGTCATTAAAAAATATTATATTGTTCTCCTGGTTCTCCTGTCCTACAACCTGTCTGCCGTAAAACCACTCTATTAATCGGTGATTTGCAGTCACTTACACAAGAGAAAAAAATAATAAAACATAGCTACCATATTGGTTTGACATTCATATTTGGTAAGCTTACCTTATTTTGAAGTGAACATAGATTCCTTTTGGTAATTTCCCGCCATTTAAAGCTTTAAAATGTTGAAAACATGAATCAGAACTTGGAGGTTTTACAGCGATGGAACTTTGAAACTGTCCACCATCTTGAATTTAGCTTAGAAGCCTGGCATTTAACAAAGGAAGCCCGAAAAGTTTTGAAAATTTTTTTTGAAAAACTAAGGGATCCCACCTATACGATATTTTAAGTTTGATGACGCAAAAAAACATAGAATATATAATGTATTTGCACAAGGCTTCAGGAATGAAAACATTGATGATGTTTCAAAGAACATTTTGTTTCAACATTTTTTAGGCATGAGTTCTAAAAGCTAAATTATTTTACAATTTTTGTGAGCAGAAAGGAAAGAATTGGAGTAAGACAAAATTGCTCTTCTCTTATTTTCCAAGCTGCTGAAAGAGTTGAAAGAACTAGGATATTATTTTCACAGTATATAAATGGAACTTACATAAAGAATATCTGAAAACTGTAGATAATGTTGTTAATAAATGAAAAATATCAATAATTATCTTGAATTTATGAATAAATTGATCTCATGAATGTCATTACCAACCTACAATGACATGCAAACACTGCCCGTCATATGCCTTCAACCAGAGAGTATTCTATTGCTGTTCAGTGGCGGATCCAGGGGGGTCGAAGGGGTCCACGGAACCCCCCTTGAACGTTTGATCTTTTAGGTAATAGAAATATGCCTTATATAAATTTTGCTTAAAAGTATCCACAAAGATAATGGTGAACACGAAATGATAGATATTTGCAGTTATAATGTTTAATTTACCTTTAAGTTCCGTTACTAGATAATAAATTAGGTGATTAGAGCCAATTTTTTGTCAAACATCGACTAAACAAAAGAGAATTATACACAGTTTAAGAAACGGAAGCCCCCTTTGAAAAATCCTGGTTCCGCCACTGCTGTTTATCAGTCAGYTGAATGAATCTCATGAATCTTACTTTTCAGTGACAGGCAAACACTGCCCTTCTTGTTCTATCATAGTTAATGGTGCTATAAACCAAAGAGGATTCGGCTAATGCTGGGTATAAATCAGCTGAATGATTATATTGTTATGAATCTTATTGTCAGCCTACAATGACAGACAAACAGACAGTATTTGTCAGCCATTTAGCTGATAAAAWTTCCACCAGAGCACGGGAATGACGTCATTTGTAATTCATAGTTTTTTGGTGCTTGTCGGTATGCCATGTTTAGTTCYCTCAACATCTAGAAAACACGGCATAAGCACCACAGCAGTTCGASACTTCCTGTGAGTTGCTAAGTCAGTCCTTTCACTATTCCTGCGCATGCCTACTGATGTCTCTRAACTTTCTCCACCAATCGACTTSCGGTAGCTGCGCATACTGAACGACTTCCGGTTACATTGGTTCGCAGTCCCCAGTACCTCCACTCGGTCACAGTGATAAAACATTTCGAGGAAATCTCTTCGGTATTCTTTGTTACTTAAGCAGTAGATGACTGGGTTGACACACGAGTTGAACATGGCTAGAATCACTGTAAACTGGTAGAAACTATGCGGTAGGATAAGAGTTTTAAATGTCAACAAGATGAAAAACGTTTCCGCTGGAAACCAACAAAGTGTCAAAAGAAACGCAGTAATGGCGCACATGCGCACTATGCGCCTTTTCGCCACCCCAAAACTGTTAGTAACATTGTGAGCATTAATCTTCCTCCTTCTGCGCATGCTCTTCCATACGTCAGTAAACGTCATCCACGTGACTATGCTAGGAATGTAAAACGTCATAGCGATGTGGAACAGAGTGAGAATCTGGGAGATCTCCATCCCATACGGTGGAGTGGTACKCTTGCAAWGGYTATCGCGGGCGGTGACTTGAAAGAGTTCGTTTATCTGAGTCGAGCAGCTGAACAACCACACTATGAAAATATAAAATCCAAGCCTTGTTTTACGAAATGTAACCTTGTATCTCATTGGCTTAACCACTGCGTACCAGCGCTCCACGGCCATGCACATGACAGTCAAAGTCGAAGCTTTTCCGAATGTAAACAATACATAGGTTGAGCCAATYAGACGGCAGAACAGTTCACCTCCGATATTCACAGGGACATGAAAGAGGTGGTCTGGTATGACAAAGTCTGGAGTGGCTGCCAGGAAGATAGCTGAAATAGAACCGCAACAAAAGCAAATATTGAAACTAAGATAAATATATTTATCTAATTAATGGCTCAGTGACGGCATAGGTGTCTAGACCTTAATACAGAGAGCTTAACAGTAAATCTTTCATTCCAGACAAACTTCTAGGAATTGGAAGTCACTCAGATATAGAAAGTGATCTCCTGAACTCCAAACAAAGACTACCAATTTGTGCCGTCTGAAGTATTGATTTTGGGTATGGTTTATGATAAAATGCACGGTTTTTTTGCTAAGATTGATTTAATCACTGAAAAGAATAAGAAACCATGTCTATCCAACATTTTAGAATAAAATAAAGAAACGAGTATGACTAACAATTTGAAGTAAAAATAAGGAAAATGAGTAAAGGCATGAATATAAAATATATGTTTTGATAAATATATTGTAAAGATAAATATATAAGAATGCAAAAGTTTGRCTATTGTTAAAGTTTTAGAAAAGGGTAAGACAATCCAAGAAAAAAGGAAACAAACAAAAACGCACAAAAACAAGGTGCTAGAATCAACTACTTTTTAAAAATCTGTTATTGGAAAACCACTTTCAAAAAACTCTACCGATCTTACTAAATCATAAAAAAATTCTACATAGTCTAAATTTTCCATTTTCTCCTAATCTCTTAACGTTTTCATTCAAAAAATGTTAAATAAAACAAATAAATAAACAAA